CCCCAAAACCCCAAAACCCCAAAACCCCAAAACCCCAAAACCCCTGAGGAGGGTAACCGATTGAGAAATATATTTCACCGCCTGTTTTCTTTCTTATCATTGCCAAAGATGATTTCGGTTTTGAAATAAATTTAATTGGCAATAACTCATTGTGAGCTAATTCCTGTTGAGTGTATCCATGCATTTACTCCTAATAATTTCATATTCTTCAGCAAATTTTGGGTCTTGTTTCTCTGCTCCGGCTCCTTTGTCATAAAAATAGCAGAACAAAAATGCTATCTCTGGGAGTGATGTGAAGTAATCGAGTTTATCATGAGAGTATTTGTATAAAGTTTCATGAACTCTACTCGCAGCATCCTTCCATTTGGCCTTCTTATTCTTTTGGCCCTTCTTCATTTTAATAAATAAGTCAATATTTCTTGTAAGATCTTGAGGGTATAATAAACAAGCAAGATAGAAGTTTTGCTCAAAAGTTCCTGGTAATTTTAGAAATTCTTTATTGAACTTCTCCATTCAATTGTACATATAGTCATCGTTTCTGACCTTATTTAGACGAAATAAACCCTGTGAGATCTGAAATTTGCACCTGAAAGTAACGACGGCACTCTCGGAGAATGGTTTTAAAATATAACATCCCTCCTTCTCTTCTTCTTTTTCTTCTTCTCCTTAGTCGGCTTCGCATGTTTAGCTTCCTCTATATCAGATCCTGATGCTTCCGAAGTGGGTAATTTGGCTTCTTCTTTAGCTTCTTCTTTGGATTCCTCTTTTGGTTCCTTTTGGATTCCTTTCATTGATTTTTCTTTTTGCAGAGTTTCCTTCTTTGGCTTGATTTCTTCCATGGTATCATGATGGTTCTCTTCGATCTTCTCCATTTTCTTGGCTTTGACGGACTTTTCTCTAAGAGTAGGTGTTTCTGGTGCCATTTGGAAGTTCATGAAAGACATCATGCTGTCATCCTTCTGCATTCCAAAGACTGGAGGAGCTTGACCGAACCGCAGCTTGGACTCGCTCCTAGTAAGGACTCTATTTGGAAGAGTCATGTTGGGAGGAGTATGGTCTGATAAATCAGCCATATCCACAAACATGTTATTATTTATAGACTTTTGTTTGCTCATGTTGTTCCAAAGTTGCTCTCTGTACATCTCACTATCTGATTTTAGGAATGAGGTTGACTTGTTATTCGCATTCATGTTGTTCCTATAGGAAGATGTTCAATCTAGGGTAGTAGGAAAGGTCTTACTGATGGTATTTCAGGATATTAGCAGGTGAATCCATTGCAGATGGAAATCTAGATAGCCCCATGCTTCTTGGGGTTGCTGAGTAGCTTGCATTCCTCGAATTTAGCGACATCCTCAATGACGGGTTCTCTTTTGAAAATATCGGTATATCAGCTTGCTTTTTTGAGTTCATTCTCTGTGTAATATTGGAAAATATTATTTATTCTATTAATTTTAACTTCTTGGGGTTTTGGGGTTTTGGGGTTTTGGGGTTTTGGGG